TTGTGTTGATGGCGGCCTTCTTGAATATCTGAGCTACTTGTTCCTGTCGTCTAGATATTTCAATAAGTTATTTAATTTTGTTTGTTTTAATTCATCATTATGTTTATTGAGTTGAACAATCTATTCAGGTAAGTTTGTGAATTGTTAACAACCTTTCGCTGTACAAATTACAAAGATGTACAGTCGAATACATCGTGGTTGCTGGTAATATGCAGCGAAAAGAATGTACATTATTTAAATGTCGATTGACTGGACTGATAACTTATAACTGGTGATAATTTTTTACAACTTATACTGGATTCTGTTATATCCGAGCGAAGATTAAATCACGAGTAACGTCTGAGACCTAATAACTGATTAATATTATCTATACATTCTTATGGTATAATTATTCAATAATTAGAATATGTATATTTATATTCCGGTGTTGAAGATGGTCGAAAGAAAGTTAGTGGAGGCCAAACCAAAACGTGGCATCAGTGCTTGAAGACACTAACTTCTCGTCTGCGCCATGTTGGTAGATGCAGACGACTTGGTTGGGGTCCGCGTGACTATCGTAACCAATGGTTGGAGACTCTTGGTGACATGGCTCAGAATCTACCACAATCGCGTCGGTGTATACACTCTCGGTCTTTCCTTAAACTAAGAGATTAAAATCATTTCATATCATTCTTTCTACGAACTAATTCTTTCTTCCTGTATTATTATATCCTTATATGCAATCGTTCTTTTATATGTTACCATCAGTGAATTAACTACTTTTATGAATCCGGTGTTCATCTTGTTGTGTTAATGAGGTATGGCAACTTGAACTAATGCGCATATATGTGCCTGGTCTTACGTTGTAGCTGACTGACTGACTGACTCTTATTATAAGCTTTATTTTGACCTATATATTATTATTGTACGATTTACTGTTCTTAAGCTATGTTCAGTTTACTGACTATTGCCTCCCACGTTCACAGCCACTTTTTGGCTTTATTGTGTACAAATGTTATTTCCTATTTTATGGTGCGTTGCGGTCTGTTTGTTTGATATATAAATCCAGTATGTCTGAAATAAATGAGCTGGTATCGGCGTTCTGAACTCAAGTGGACGGGCTAGGCGGACATAAAACCAATAAGGACGCTAGACTGCCCATACCGGTCGAACGTCATTGGTTTGGCACAGTGCTAAGATTGGTGGATTAATCACGTGATAACTAGCCTTACATAAAGTCACAACAACAGATTCCACTGCTAGACACTATCTATCTTTGCTTAAAAAGCTTGTGACTTAAGGTTATATCGAGGCAATCCACACAGGATACACATATGCCAGCCAATATGAGACTGATCAATTGGAGTCCTAAATAACAATGGGAAGATACATGTAAAACAACAACATCAATTGAATTTACTCATATAAAATTTGTTTCTTTTTCTCTAAATGTATCAATATTTTGTTTATGTCTAATTTTAATGCTCCTAACATTATTTATGAGGATCAACATAATTTTTGTTTTCAGTGTTCGACCAAAATACTATGGGTAACATCCTCAGTTTAAACTATTCTGTCATAGGAAACATTCATCGAGTAAATGAATGGAAAGGAGTTATCTAGTGAATAGATAATAAACAATGAGATATAGATAGGCTACGAATTCATGGACAGATATCCTAGAGATAATTCTCCCTTACTACATGAACTGAAATGCTTTTTCGAAGAGTATTAACCATAAATTTCTATGTTTTATGTATTTTTGATTTTGTAAATTTCAAAACTATTACTAACCTTGTAATGTTTTACTCTTTCATATAACGAACTGGTTACATATATCCACACTGTTGGTCGTTTTCTTGATCTTCCATGGAAATTATCAAAATAACTTTACATTGTGTGATCATCAACGAAATTCGTTACAGTTTATTACTTGACAATCCAAATTTAATTTATCAAAATGACTGAAAACATTCAATCACTGTTTAAGAGTCTTTAACATGGTCTAAGTAATTATTGATTGAGTTCATGAAATGATCGATTTTAGACCACCACTGAAAACCTGTAAGCACTTAACGGTTTCTTCATCTTCGTATGGGACTCCTCAACAGTGCGTATCCACGGTGTTGACTCAATGGTTTAGAGATTAAGCGTTCACGCACTAGACCGAACGTCATGGATTCGAATCTCGCGTGCGGGATTGTGGAGGCGCGTTGTTAAAGTGTTTCATACTAGGACGAATTGGTCATTCAGTGCTTCCGGGTTTTCTATGGTTGTTCAGCTTACATGGAATTATGAATTCAACTATTAAAATTAGAAAACATCAACTCATCAACTTACCCTAATTATTATAGGATAGCTTATCAATTAATGTATTCTAATTATTACCAGAAAATCTTGACGAAGAATGTACTTGTATAGATCCTTATATTCTATTAAAAAATTACCCTCAAACTTTTATAAAGAAACACATTATGTATTACAGTATTAAACTGCAAGTTAATAGACCTGAAGTTTGTTCTGATAATGTTGTTTAGAGAAACAATGAAACCTACACGACCAAACCATCTATTTCAAAGAATGAAACTCTACCAAAACGAAGCATACTTCTGTATAACTGGAATTCAAAGGTAATGAAATCAGGAACAAAATAAGTCTTACTCTAAAGACAGCTTTAAAAAATTCCATTAAACATAAAGCGATCGTCATGAATACAAAGATAGAAAAATACCCGTTGCATATCATTTTCAAATTCAAAGAATTATATACATGTACATGAAGTGAAACTAAACTTTAACGATGTCCTTGTGAAATTCCAAGTGTATCCTTAAGATTAACCAATTAGGTATTCATAAATTAAAATATATATACTTTGTAAAGAAATGTTATGAAATAAAGCAAAAGTTCGATGAGTGTAAAGTTTTGAAACGTTATCATCATCAAACTGCATCACGAGGCAAGCCCTAACTTGGAATCCTGAAGGGAAACGGAAAACAGGAAGGCCAAAGAACACATAACGTCGAGAAATAGAAGAAGATATGAAAAGGAAGAATAACAACTGGGAAGAGTTGGAAAGGATTGCCCAGGACAGAGTTGGATGGAGAATGCTGGTGGGTGGCCTATTCTCCTTCACCAAGAGTAACAGGCATAAGTAAGGAAATGTATGTGTAGCTGTAGGGTGGATTTTGTAAATATTCATTTTCTTTTTTTTTTGTTTAATTTTCTGGTGGGGGTGGAAGAGAGGGGTGGCTAATTTAATTACATTGACAACTTTTAATTGTTTTTTTTTCTGAAAAGGAAATCACCTTCTTCCATTTATCTGTAAATGACTAATTTATTTAATTGGACAATAAAAGGAAATAGAAGAAACGAGCTATGTTTCAGTCTATATCTATATTCAATGGTGTTTATCATTTAAATTTATAAGATATTGGAGAATTTAAATTATATTATTTGATAGTTACCATGCATAATACTAATATAAGCTTAGAAATTATTAGTTTTATGCTTGTTTCCATGTGTCACATTCCCCTTCATACAGATGATATAAACATGTTCAGTTGATAGAATACTCGATGAGACTATAATTTATGAAGGACCTTTGAACGATGCTAAAGTGACTTTCAGAGTAGAGACCTACTGATTAGAACTAAATGATGGTTATAAATTAGTTAGAATTCTGATTTATAGTTGATGGTTAAGATTAAGAATTAAATGAATGAATTACGCGCCCAAACTCATGACGCGTTATCTTATATCTGATTAGTTCGTCCATAAATTACAGTTTCGCCGAATACTCTGTTCTTACACAATGAATTCTTTATGGCTTCTAATGTTTATATTATGAATTGAGCAAGATAAATGTCATTTAGATTATTCTGTAGGAATTTCGTTGTGAACTGAACTGTTCAATTGTAACGTTTTCACTGAACAACATCAGCACAAACTTCTGATAGAAGTGAGATATTTGAATTTCTACACACATGACTGACAGTTTATCTTGTCGATTTTTTGTTTGATTAGTTGTTATTTGCCTTTAATCTGTTGGTATATGAATGCGTATTATTGAAGAGTTTCATAGTAGGATGAAACAGTCGTACAGTGCTTCCTGATTTTCACTAGAGGTCTAACTTAAATCGGTTCATAATTTGAATGAAATTCAACACTGATCATAAATTCATACTGTTTATTTATTTTTTCCATCTCCAACTTCGAATTGTTTCTTGATCCCAAACTTGCTCATGATTTTTCTAATTATTTGATAAATCGGATCGCCTTCGGTATGTTTATTGATTACTGATTGAGCTACGTGTCGAGCTTCTAAATACTCTCACGTGTTCTCAGTACTTTCTCCACTCAAAATTTCAAGATTTTCTTAGCTGAACGTGTCCTCATAGTTATTAATATGCATTGACAACCTGTTGTGGGAGAGAACAAACCAGATTCCAGTAGAGGAAGAAATGAGGAAGAAGCGATGGAAGTGAATAGGACGCACATTGAGGAAAGTACACAACTGTGTCACAAGGCACGCTGTCACCTAGAACCCTCAAGGTCAAAGGAGAAGCGAAAGACCAAAAAACACATTATGCCGAGAAATGGATACAGACATTCGAAGAATGAACAAGAATTGGATAGGACTGGAAAGGACGGCGTAGGACAGAATGAGTTGTAGAATGCTGTTCAGTGGCCTATGCTCCATTAGGAGTAACAGATGTAAGTAAGTTAGTAAATAAGTAAGGAATGCCATAACTAGTGATTGCCTTATCTAGCTGAGCCTTATTCGATTTGACTATAAATTTGCCTCTTAATTTGCTCGCATATACACACAAACATTCACCTATTTGCTTCAAATTCGCTCGATGTGCTTATAGCTTTGTTGTCTGTGTTATTCTCTAAAAAACTTTAGTTACCGCTTCGTATTGCCCTTTGATTACAGATACTGTTAATATTTATATATAATAACGGTTACAAAGCTAATAGGTTGGCATAATAAAGCCACTACAGTGTGATCTAGTTTAGACAAACGAATAAAAGCTCATTACATCAGTAATATAACAATGACATATAATAACAATGGAGTAATAATAATGATAAGAATGATAATCTGTTCTTTGTTACATATTTGATGTTGTTTCTGTTAGAGTCATCTGTTGATTTTCATCTTCATAATTTTTGTAAAAATTATTTACAACAGAATGATTAGTAAATGTATAATGAATATTTGATAAATGTTGATCATCTTCAATGATATTCATCCAATTGTAAACAGGTTCATTTCCATGAATCATATTGTATCCAACCTCTGTGAACAACAACAAGAAAACAACAAGAGAATGAAAACTTACAATGTTTTAAAATTAACTTGTGAATGAAGTATCGATGGATAATGGTTAGAAATAGAATCTGGGATATGTGTTTCATCCTACTTTGGCACTCGTCAATTGGATGTACCTGCATCTCAGACTTGTTGATATTTACTCTGAGTATCGAAACTTGTACAAGTTTGCTTCAAAAGCCATCGTGTAATCCGCTTAACTATTGAGTCCTGATAGTCACCTGCTCATACAAGCAGGACGAAACACGCATCCTGGATTCCACTAATAGCCATTATCCATCTTTGTTTATAATGCTTATGAATTAAGGCAATATCGAGGCGATCCGTACATCATGCACATATGCCAATGAAGCGACTGAACAACCGCAGTCCTAAACAACAATGAGAAGATATAAGCAATTAATACCAAGTGAATTTATCTTGTCGTTTGTCTAAATATAGTCATCATGCCATACATTTCTGTAGAAAAGATCGGATGTGACTAGCAGTAGAACCTTTGACACATCTTTCTTCCCATTTTAAATTTGTCTGTCGCTTGATGTACCTGACTTTCAGAGTTGATGCCCTTTCTCCAACTCAAACGCAGTACCTTATACTTCGAACACACAACTTTGTTATCCATATGGATAGTGAGTCTAGATAGTTACTGACTTGTTCAACCATTAAAAGACAGATTCAAATTCATGAATCTTGTACAAGTGGTAGCTATCATGACTCAGTATATATTATTCTTAATATTCACTTCATAATGGTTATGGTACTTTGATAAGAAAGAGGTTGACCGTGATAATGTAAATGCTATTTTGTTCAACCAATTTAATCTACCGAATGACTAATTGGTCTAATTATCTAAGAAAGTCAACTACTCCCTAAATATCCACCACCTTTCCATCTCCAAACATCAAGCATTCCTTCACGACACATAATGAGTCCCGACAGTGGTAAAGCTGCTTCATGTCACCATCAAGTTCAGTTGACGGCCAGCGATTGGTGACATAGTTCATCGTTCTCTTAATGATAGATTCATTCCTGGCGGCAGTTTGTATCTTAGATGCTGAGACTGGCAAGGTACGAACAGTAGTTGTCAGGTAACAATGCGTGTAGTCTTCTGTCATAAGGGAGGAAATAACTGCATCTTCATTGGCCTTAGGGTGTTTGCTGATAAGTCGTAACGGGGCGTCTACCTGACCTAACTGTTGGGTGCGCCGATACTGAATGTCAAAATCGTAACCCAAAAGTATGAAGACCCATTGCTGTAGACGGTTTGCAGAGTGGGCTGTAACACCAAATTTCGAACGGGAAATTGTAAGAAGAGGCTTGTGATGAGTGAGAAGAGTAAATCTTCGACCGTACAGGAATTTGTGGGAATGGCGTATTAAAAACACAAGGGCGAGAGCCTCTTTCTCTATTTGGCTGTACTTCCTTTCTGCTGGAGTTAATGTACGAAACGCATGCATGACAGCATTCTCTGTTGAAGCGTTTGCAGCTACAATGATTGTCATAGATGGTTCGTAGTTCTTTAATAATAACTCAGAGCTTATGATTATTTTCAGCTTGCAAAAGGCAGATTCACACTCTTTTGTCCAGTTCCAACTAGTATTCTTAGTCAGAAAATATTTTGGTGAGGCATGTTTGTCGTTGTTCAACGGAACGAAAGCTGAATAGTAACTGACTAATCCCCGAAATGATCGGAAATCAGAGAAACTGGGAGAAGTGGGCATCACTCATATGGCTCGGATGTTTTCAGGGTCTGGTTTGCGACCTGCAATAACAAAGGTGAACAACTCACCCTGTCCTACGCCTTCCTTTTCAGTCCTATCCAATTCTTGTTCATTCTTCGAATGTCTGTATCCATTTCTCGATGTAATGTGTTCTTACATCTTCCTCTTCTCATTTGACCTTGAGCAATTCAAGTAAGGGTTTGCTTTGTAACACATGCATGCTTTCCTCAATGTGTGTCCTATCCACTTCCATCTCATCTTCCTGATTTCTTCCTCCACTGGAATCTGGTCTGACCAACAGATCCAAAGTATTTTGCATAGACAATTGTTAGTAAACACTTGTATGTTCTGGATGATGACTTTCGCAGTTCTCCAAGTTTCCACCCCATACAGTAAAACTGTCTTGACATCTATATTGAAACTTGTGAATTTGGTGTTGATTGACAGCGAGACAGTTGTTTTGAGTTGTAGATATTCTACAATTGTAGATATGCTACTCTTGTTTTGCCGATTCACGCATTCACATCTGCATCAGATCCACCGTGTTTATCAATGATGCTCCCTAGATATGTAAGGGTTTTTACATCTTCCAAATCTTCTGCATTAAGTGTAATTCGATTGTTGCATACCGTGTTGTATCGGCGAATTCTGCTTTTACTTTTGTGTTTGTTGAAATCTACTGCTGCTGAGGCTGTTGCTACACTGGTCGTCTTCTCCTACACTTGTTGTTGCGTGTGCGATAGAAGGGCCAGATCATCTGCGAAATCTAGGTCGTCCAGCCGCAGTATAGCTGTCTATTGTATCCTATGTTTCCCCACCCCCACCAAAATGTTAATATCTTCATGATCTAATCGATCAGAAAAGGAAAACGGATCAATAATTATTTCTAGTCTCATACAATTATAATACATATTTTAAAAAAAACTTACGTGAACTTGCTGAATTTCCCATATTTTCATGATGTAATCCATTTGTATAATAGAAATTTGTTGTGATAGGTAGATCATTATTGAATTGATTGATATCAGTTGAATGATAATGATGATTCATTTCATTATGACTATATATACTATTTCTATTCATATTGATACTACTACTACTATGATTACTATGGTTACTATTATTATTATTATTACTACTACTACTATTAATTGATTTAAGTAGTATCTCTTCATTATGATTTGATGTTAAACATAATAATTGATTTTGTTCATCAATAATGATATTTACATTTGATTTATATTGATTAATTAATTTTGATTTACATTTATTACGATAAATAATCATTATAATAATCATAATTATTATTATAATGAATATAATTACTATAGTAATAAGTATAATAGATAATAATAAATGTTTATTTGTTTTTATGAATTGATTGTTTCCAATGGGAAAGTTGATATTTTGTTCCGGTAAATTATATACATTATTATTATTATTATTACCATTATGAGGGTCAATAGATATGGATGGATTCAGAGGAGAATGTACAGATGAACTTGATGATAATGATGATGATGATGATGATGTTGTTGTTGAATAAGGAGAAGACCTAGATATAGGATTATATGATATAGAATCAGGTAAATCATTAATTGGTCTTTGATGAAGTTCTGTTGGTAATATATTAAGAAATATGATACATGTTGTATTAAATAATTCAGGTTGACTATAATCTTGTATATCTATGTATAAAATGTATCTAAAAAAAAGGAAAAAAAAGAGAATCTTTATGATCATTTGAGTAACAATAAGCGATTTATAACCTTAGTTAAAAAAAAGCTTCATAATATCTACAATCCCATACTTACTAGCGACTAGTATTGTGAGAGAATCCTCGGAATTCTAGTAAAAAGCCGTAGACAGTAGAGTTAATCCTTGTCGGGTAAAGAAAAGTATCTACGTCAGTACAATGGAAGATGGTCACGTGATTTCATGGATTGATTGAGGTTAGACATAAACACCATTGAATGACAGTCCAGTGATCTAGAGTTCAAGCGTCCGTGAGCGAAACTGAAGGTCGTGGGTTTAGATCCCGTGTGCAGGATCGTGAACGTGAGTTCTTAAGGCGTTCCACATAACGACGAAACAGCCATCCAGTGCTTCCAGGTATTCAATGGTGGTTTAACACCAATTGGTTAATGATCTCAATCAAAAACAAGAAAGGAAACTATTCATATAGACTAACGTATCTTAAAAATTTTTCAAAAATAAAGTGTATTATTCACTCAACGAATTCATTCATATATAAATGATTTTTTACAATCCAAGCAATGTAGAAACTTGGAAGACTCGCCTGGTCTCCCATATTGTACGAGCATTCAATGTACCTCAATTATTGGTTGCTCTGGTTGTCAGAATGAGCATCAGCCTTGTGACTTACGAAAGAACTCGGATTTCATCATGAGGCGTCATATCTCTTTTAACTCCCAGAGTTTCAATGGTTTGAATTACTTATTTTTCTGGTTATTGCTTTTTTAGCGAGTTAGTTTTCTATGGGATGGAGTCGCTAACCACATGCCCAACCTTCCCTCTTTTACCCGGGCTTGAGGCCGGCAGCAGCCCCAGAGGGCTCCAGACAGAGTTCCGAACAGGCCAAAGGAAGTAAGTAAGTAATAACATCGATATTTTTATTCCATATATGTTTTTCAGTATTTCTGCCTAGTAACTATAATAAAATTTCAATTCTAAATTTAAACGTATATTGACCGATATGTCACTAGTCTCTGTGTAATCACATTACGTGGACGTGCAGTACTGAAAAGTTCCATAGTAAGACAAAACAGCCATCCATTGCTTCCAGGTTTTTCATGGTGGTCTAGCTTCAATTGACTCATGATTTCAACGAGTAAAAGTTGTAAAAGTCTCCACGTCACCCATTCTGATAATAATCATCTGCTCACTAGTGTCTGACTTTAGAAGATACTCCTGGAGTTCCAGTGAGAAGCCGTTACCAGTGAAGTTCAACCAGGTCTGTTGTAAGATATCAACTCACTGAAGACAATGGTGTACGATGATGAGATTTCGTGGATTGGTTGAAGTTAGACATTAACACCGTTGGATACCAGCTCAGCGGTTTGATGATTAAGCGCAGGCGTGCGAGAGTGATAGGTCCTGGGTTCGAATCTCGCAGGGGGTGTGGACGAAACGGCGGTTTAGTGCTTGAAGGTTTTTCATGGTGGTCTAGCTTCAATTGAATAACATGATTTCTTATCAGTTTATACTTTTTTTCTAAAATCTATGTCAAATTAGTTGTCATTCCAAAAAAAAATAACCAAAAACAAAACAGGAACTTAGTATTTTGAATGTCATTACACATTACAAAACACTTTGTTCAAAGACGGAAATGTCTATTATGATAACTACAAATTTATATTCTTATCACTGTAATATCAAACACTAATCGAGTATTTATTCATATACCCATTTCACTGTTCATAATATTGATAAACGACTACCAGATATTAATGAAATACTCATGTCTAAATGTTATGAATCTAGTTAATAACTTGTATTTCAATCATGAAATAATCTAATTTAACAAGGAATTAATCAGTTCAATGAAAGAAGAAATCATAATTTTGAATCTATTTATCAGATTTACATTTACAATACCATAATCAATAATGAATATCATGTTTATTTAATCCTTTGTTATGTTGATTAGATTCTATGATTAATAATTACAGTTGGGAAACTAGTCTAAGTGATAAGATATTAGATATACTATATTGGAGACGGCCAAACCAAAACGTGGCATCAGTGCTTGAAGACACTAACTTCTCGTCTGCGCCATGTTGGTAGATTCAGACGACTTGGTTGGGGTCCGCGTGACTACCGTAACCAATGGTTGGAGATTCTTGGTGACATGGCTCAGAATCTACCACAATGGCGTCGGTGTATACACTCTCGGTCTTTCCTTAAACTAAGAGATTAAAATCATTTCATATCATTCTTTCTACGAACTAATTCTTTCTTCCTGTATTATTATATCCTTATATGCAATCTTTCTTTTATATGTTACCATCAGTGAATTAACTACTTTTATGAATCCGGTGTTTATCTTGTTGTGCTAATGAGTTATGGCAACTTGGACCGATACATATATGTGCCTGGTCTTACGTCGTAGCTGACTGACTGACTGATACTATATTGGAATATTAGCTGATTGGTTATCAATAGCTAGAAATTTAGAACCTAAGTGGGTCTGACCATAATTTAGATTTACGATAAAAGATCTTGAGATTTTGGGTGCGAAATTCATTCATATATTTGGCTAGATAGTGTTTTGGCATTTTAGCTGATATCGATTTTTCATAAAAAACCTTAAATTTAATCCATATTCTTAACCATTAACTGTAAATCATAATTCTTATCCTTCACACGGGTTTAAAACCCTCATTTAGCCTGTCGTCAGTAGATCGACATTCTCGAGTTCGCTGTAGCGTCGATCAAGGATCGTCTATAAATTATAGTCTCACCCCTAGGTGTAACGGGAAAAAAAACGTTGAAAATCCCTTCACACCATTTCGTTGGACTGCATCGTCATTTATTTATGCTTTCTCCCTTTCTTTTATTTGAACCTTTATTCATGTATCTTCAGTCTTCTTCGTTTGAGCTTTTGTTATATGACCTTGGTTGAAGACTTACCTTTTGTTATTTAATTTTACTGGGGCATGTCGCCTAACGTTTGACAATAAGGTTCTGTTTGAATAAACTTAAGATCACTAAGTGGTTTAGTGTATGACTGTTAACCTCTAACTATCTGTTTGGAAAGGTCGCCGGAATCTTTGCATATAGACATCTGATCCCATCTTGTTGGGGATACTTTTATTGATTCTTAAGTATCGAACTATTGCTTATTGGATATTTCTTTTGTCGTTAATTTGTGTTAGCGAAACTCTTGACTGTATAGCACAAGCTGAACCTTTTAAGGTGTTTTGTACTTTTGATATAATTTAATCTCATCCTCAAATTAGAACCATTTAAATTGAATACATGGTTTGTGTTTTGATATAATTTAATACAAAAATGCTTAGTACGCTATACAAACGAACGTATTCTGGTCAGATCGTTAGTTCCGAGTTCAAACTGAATATTGACATTTCAGTTGTTTGTTATGTTTCGTTATTGCTTGAATGCGATTACTGATGCGTCTTACTCGAACGAACGAAGGATCAATGATTCAGCGACTCGATAGACTATTCTGGTCCGTTGTCCCCAACTCTGCTAACTCGATCAAGAAGTTTGGGTAAGGTGTAGAAAGTGTATTCTACAGACAAACAGCAGATAACAAGTCAGGCAGGCAGATCAGATCAAGCATACAAGTCAAGCGTATTTATACAATTATTTACAATCGATAGAAAATTTTTAAACATTAATCAATGAGTTCATTAATTGACCTATTTGCGCATGTAATCGATAGTTCATCAATTGACTGCTATTCAAACATTTAATCGATTAGTTCACCAATTGACCCCAATAAAAATATCTAACATTTAATCAATAAGATGATCGATAAGATAAATTTTAAAATATGAGTTTGGGGATCTATCGTCCCCAACACTCCTCCCCTTTTTAATAGCGGGCTTTCCTGGGGTCAACCTGCATCCTGATTGTTGCTCGCCGTTCTCGGATAGGCCACCGTCTTGGACGTGTTTCAGTTTGTTGTTGAGGTTTTTCTTGTGGTGGGGTTGCCGGTAAGTTGAATGTGTCTAGCAGAATGTCAAGAGGAATATTTGATTCTGTTGATGGGCGGTCTGGGGCTAACCGTTTGCGTAACTGGTTCCGATGGCGTTGCCACCTGTCACTACCTACCTCAACTTCGTACATGACTCGGCCAACTCTTTTGACCACTCGCGCTTCTGTCCATGGACTATGGGTCGGTCTGTAATCACGGGCAAACACCGGACATCCCACTTCGTACGTGGATTGCTTTTCAAACTTTGTCCGTACTGGTGTCGGTGCATTCCTCGGATGCATCAGGCTGTGGATTGTCTTCAGTCTTCTTCCCATTAGGATCTCGGCTGGGGACTTTCGCTCCGGCAACGTTTCATTTGGTGTTGTTCGATACACGTATAAGAAATTTTGCAACGCGTCTGCTGGCGTCCCCTCCCCCTTTGTTTTAGCCAAGGCTCTCTTAAACGTATCCACAAACCTTTCTGCTTGCCCATTCGACTGCGGGTGGTATGGTGGCGAGCGTAAGTGCTTTATGGCTAGTCGTTGACAGAATGACTGAAATTGGCTGGATGTGAACTGTGACCCGTTGTCAGACACAATAGCATCTGGTATACCATTTCGAGAGAAAATTTCTGTGAGGATCTGTATTGTTTTAGTTGTCGTTGGCGGTATGATAGGGTTGATTTCAGGCCATTTCGAAAAGGCGTCGACAACAACTAGATAGGTGATTCCGTTAATTGGGCCTGCGAAATCGACATGTATCCTGGACCAGGGATACTCAGGCTGTGGCCATGGGACTGGTAGTATTTTCGCGTTACACTTAGCTGCTTGCTGACATTGTGTGCACTTGCTTACTAAATCCACGATATGTTGGTCCATGAGGGGCCAATAAGCATAGCTTCTGGCGATGGATTTCATTCGTTTTATACCAGGATGACCAGTGTGGAATTGCTTTACCACCTTAGATCTTAGGGATTCTGGTACCACTACTCTATCTCCAAACATCAAGCATTCGTTTACGACGCATAATGAGTCCCGACGGTGGTAAAGCTGTTTCAAGTCACCATCGAGTCCAGTCGGCGGCCAGCCATTTGTGACGTATTTCATCGCTCTCTTTATGATGGAGTCGTTCTTGGATGCAGATTGTATTTCAGCTGCTGAGACTGGCAAAGCACGAATAGCAGTTGTCAGGTAGCACTGCGCGTAGTCCTCTGTCATCAGGGAGGCGATAACTGTATCTTCGCCGGCCGTATGGTGTTCGCTGATAAGTCGTGACAAGGCGTCAGCCTGACCAAACTGTTGAGTGCGCCGATACTGAATGTCAAAATCATAACCCAGAAGTATCAAAGCCCATCGTTGGAGACGGTTTGCAGAATGGGCTGGAACACCAGATTTCGAACCGAAAATTGTGAGAAGAGGCTTGTGATCAGTGAGAAGAGTAAATCTTCGACCGTACAAGAATTTGTGGAAACGGCGTACTGCAAACACAAGAGCCAGAGCCTCTTTTTCTATTTGACTGTACTTTCTTTCTGCTGGGGTTAGTGTACGGGCTGCATGCATAATGGCTTTTTCCGACGCATCCGGAAACTGATGGGAGATAACAGCGCCTATGCCATGCGCTGAAGCGTCTGCAGCTACGATGATCGGCAAGGCTGGATCGTAGTGTGTCAACAGCAATTCCGAACTAATAATGGACTTCAGTTTACAAAAGGCAGCGTCACATTGTTTAGTCCAGTTCCAAGAGCTGTTCTTCTGCAGTAAGCTATTGAGTGGAGCGCGAATATCATGCATCGATGGAACGAACGCTGAGTAATAGCTGACAAGTCCCAGGAAGGAACGTAGTGATGAGACATTAGTAGGAGTTGGCATCAGTTTGATAGCTCGGATATTCTCAGGATCTGGCCTGCGGCCATCGGCATCGAAAATGAACCCCAAGTACTTTACCGACTGCAAATGAAACTGGCATTTCTCTGGGCGTAACCGGAACCCGTTGTCACTGATGCGTTGCAGTACCAATGTCGTGCGTTCTCGTAGTTGTTCTAATGTCGTTGCTACAATTAAAATGTCATCCAAATAAGCCGCGACTCCCGGGATACCTGATAGGATGGTATCCATTAGCTGTTGGAAAATAGATGGTGCAGTTTTGACTCCGAAAGGTAGACGGTTATACTGGAACAAACCACGATGAGTATTGATAGTTAACAGCTCTCTTGATGCTTCGTCTACTTCCACTTGCAAATAAGCATCAGCTAGATCCAGCTTAGCGAAAAATCTTCCCCCATTCAGCATGGTAAATAGGTCTGCGGGAACAGGCAAGGGATAATGATGTTGTTCCAGAGCTGCATTGAGACCTGTTGAAAAGTCAGCACATATACGTATCGTGCCGTTGGCCTTCTTAATAACCACGATAGGTGCTGCCCATGCAGAGTAGGAAACGGGAGTGATAACTCCTTGTTGTTGAAGGCGGTTCAATTCTTCATCTACTGTTTGTAATGTTGCATAAGGGACAGGTCGCTTTGGGCGAAAAACAGGCTTAGCCCCAGTTTTCAATCGAAGTGTTGCTTTCATGACAGAGCAGCGACCCAATCCAGGTTGGAAAATGGTTGAAAACTCCGTCATTAGTTCTTTCGAATATGCTTCAGGTTCATGAGGTTGTTTCACCAGATGGCATACGGTGCTTAAAGGAACGTCAGCTAAATGTAGCTGGTCAAACCAGTCTAACCCAAGTAGATTAAGATCAGCTGGTGTGATGTAACATACACCGGTAAACGTTGAATCGTGAAAAGACACTTTACAATCTAGTTGTCCCAACAAACGTAGGTAATTACCGCATGCAGTTCGAGGTTTTTGTGTTGTTGGAACCATGCGTGGTCTTCCCATTCTGATCCAATATTTTCGTGAGAGAATTGTTACATCAGATGCAGTGTCTATTTGCAGTCTAAATGAATGCCCATTAATGTTAACAGTAATAAATTTTCTCTGACACGGTGATGAGCTTTGACACGAAGATACTAAGCTCAATGAACTGGTGCGGGATCTAGGACAGGTCTTTTTGGTATTTCTTGATTGACTTGGAGTCTTCTTCGTCAGACAAAACCCATCCTTATGGCCTATAACCTTACACTTCTTGCATCGATGTTGTTTAAATGGGCAGTTTCGAACGTAGTGCCATGCACCACATTGCCAGCAAGGAGCAGGAGGAGTTGCTTTAGTCTGTCGTCTAGAGCTGGAGTGAGATGGACTGGATGAAGCGGGGACGTGTTTGTTTTTGTGAGGTGTCTGTTGTACCGCTCGTACTTCAAATCGGCTAGAACCACCACTCTGGACCATAGAAGTGTCTCGTTGAAGATTAATGAGACGTTGATATTCATTAGCTATATCACTCAGGGTGAGTTTCGGTTCTTGATCCAAACGACTTAGTAGCCTTGTTCGTAAGTCACTGAACTTTTGGTGCTGTAGGCTGCAAATAAGGATCAGGGCTTTAAACTGATCTTCAGTCAAGGACTTTAACCGGAAGCGTTCGCATTCACGGTTGACGACGCCCACATGCGTAAGAAAATCATCATCTTCGTTCATAGTCAGCTTCAAGCAACGATAACGAGTATTAAACAGTGACGAGTTATCGCCAAAATGCTGGATTAATGTTTGAACTGTGTCTGCAAATGATCGATCACGTGGGTTCAACGGCAAGATCAGATTGCAATACTTGTCCAGCTCATTTGCACCCAGTTTACGAAGTAGCAGCCGCACTTTCCAAGCATCATCTTGATTGGCGAAATCAAATTTAAATAGATCTTCATAACGCCTGAACCACATTTCAAAAGTAACATTAGAATCAGGATCGTAATGAAATTCAGCTATGCTGTTTGCGATGCCATCTACCGATGGTGCCGTGGTTGAGCTCGACGTGCTTGGCTGTAAAGGAGGCGTAACCTTGGTCTCCATTAACATTTGCATCAATTTTAGCTGCTGCTCAAGTAACAGTTCAAGTTTTGCAGGGTCCATAATCGAAAAACCACCGTCGCCAATTTGTTATGTTTCGTTATTGCTTGAATGCGATTACTGATGCGTCTTACTCGAACGAACGAAGGATCAATGATTCAGCGACTCGATAGACTATTCTGGTCCGTTGTCCCCAACTCTGCTAACTCGATCAAGAAGTTTGGGTAAGGTGTAGAAAGTGTATTCTACAGACAAACAGCAGATAACAAGTCAGGCAGGCAGATCAGATCAAGCATACAAGTCAAGCGTATTTATACAATTATTTACAATCGATAGAAAATTTTTAAACATTAATCAATGAGTTCATTAATTGACCTATTTGCGCATGTAATCGATAGTTCATCAATTGACTGCTATTCAAACATTTAATCGATTAGTTCACCAATTGACCCCAATAAAAATATCTAACATTTAATCAATAAGATGATCGATAAGATAAATTTTAAAATATGAGTTTGGGGATCTATCGTCCCCAACATTGTTGCACTAGGTTTTATATTATTTTCATAATGAAGATTTGTGGAGGTTGTATTAAATTTAACTGTTGAATTCATGAATCGATCTAAGCTAGACCATAATTGAAAATCTGGAAATACTGAACGGCTGTTATTTGTCATTCGACAACTGCATGTGTTTACAATCTTGAAAGCATCGTTGCAACTTGGTCAATAGAAGTCGACCAACAACCATCATAATTCAGCAAGAACTTATTGTAAAATCAAAAAATCATATTTGTTGCCTAAAAATTGTAATTTACAATTGATTGATCATTGTGTGGTGATCAATGTTATGTGTTTGTCAGGTCCTTCTTGGTACAGATAGAATCCTGTCGACCAAGTTGCAATGTGGCCACTAGTCTAGGTGAATCAAAATATGTTGACAGGTAGACAACAGGAAACCCTGGACCCAGATTTCGTGCTACTTGGCACTCGTTAGTAAGGTGTATCTGTAATCTTTTTGGGAACTAATGCTACATAACGGATCCGGGCCGTGATTAACCTCTTGTAGTATTCGAATAGCCCAGTGACAACGTCTCCAACTGTGAAGCTAAGTAACAAGGAGTGGAATCTGTCAGGGAGCATCAATTTTCTTAAGATTACAAATAAACTTTGCTGACAAGTGCCAGGTAGCACGATACTTAGGTCCAGGACTTCCTGTTGTCTACCTCTAACAGTACGAATGAAGTAATAAATTAACACATCATTTATTCATTATGATTTAAACGATTTAAACCTGGCTTCTCTATAGTTAAGTATTATTGTAATGAAGGAGAATACAGGTGAGGACAAGTGAATTATTTCTAGCACATTACAGTTATTTGATAAAACAGGAAAATCATACAATAATACCAAATTTGCAAAATGTTCAATAATTGTCTCAAACTTCATTGTTCTTGCATTTCTATACTAATTGTTTTCTATTCCAGTTCTTCCTTTCTTGATCTTCCTAATCTTCTACTGCTAGACATTACATTCCTGACTCGCGTTTATATACTACTTATATCAATATAAGTAGCACTGCAATATTACTAACATTCATATAAAAAATCTTATTCACAACTGAATAAACTCATATCTATATGGTTACAGATATACAATATAACAACATATATATAACAATGATAACTTACTCTCCTACATCCATCAACACTAATTGTCTACTAACACTTAATATACCAGTGTATGGATTTAATGAAATAAATGGTTTACCATTCCACAGTTTTAAACTATCTTTCATTTCTTTTTCAATACTATTATTATTACTATTATTATTATTATTATTATTATTATTATTATCCATCCAATATATTTTGGGTAGTAACCAAATATGACGCAATATATAAATCAATTTGTTGCTATGTGGTATCATATAATCATTTTGTTGATTTAATTTCATAATTTTATAATCTTTCATCACTTTATAAGATATAGATATATTGGTTATACAATAGGGGGATTTTAAACCAATTTGATTCAATATTCTATTGAATGGTTTATTGATTGATTGAATTACATTAAATGATTTATCAATCCATTGATTATTTGGATATTGATTTTTAATATTATATAGAATAATTTTAATAGATTTAAAAGAATATTTTGATGAGATTAAAGTTGGTGTGATCATTAGAAGATATTGATTTTTTAATGAATGTTCAATAAAATGATTAATATTGATTTGATAACCATGACATATTGAATTTGATCGATTAAGATTACAGAAAAATTGGATCGGTTTTAAAATAAAATCTTTTGGATCTTGTTCATTCATTGTTATCAAGGAATCATATACTTTTAATGTTAATTCACAATGATGATTAAAATGATCATTATGACTATGTGATGAAGAATATTGAATACAATAAACAATCATCTTGGATAATATTGAATCTTCTGAATAAATGGAATCTGTTATATAAAATTGATATGTATCATTAGTATATGTCTTGATGTATGAATTCGATTGATTCATTTGTAAATAGATTATTATTTGATCATGATCATTATGAACAGGATCAGGATCAGGATCTTTTATTAGATCATTCGATAATAACATTTCCATAGAATAATCCTTATTGAAATTCAATGTCAAATTAATCAATATTTGTATTTTATAATTAAGATCTTTTGAATAATCATATAATGTACCAATTTTTGATGCTTCTATCAATAATTGTTTTGTCATTAATTTTCTAGATGGATTCAATTCTTTTATTAAACTGACTATACCGGATGTTGAATTAATAGTAAAATAATTTTCTAGAAAATCAATTTTTAAGGAAAAAAATGATAATCAATTATTAGTATTGGAAGGGGTTTTGTGGAGACTGTAGTAATTTCACAATAGTTGAGATCATGAGTCGATTGAAGCTAGATTATCATGGGAAACCTGAAAGCACTGGACGATCGTTTCATCCTATTGTGGGACTCCTCAGTAGTGGGCATTCACGAACCCGCCTCATGAGATTCGAACACAGGACAGTGATGACAATGGTAGATGTGTGATAGAACCGAGCTGCGTATTGTTTTGACGTAACCTTTTCCTAACCACGAAGGGAGGTGTTCACCAACTCGTTGGTTCAGTTGCCTGGTAGTGCGCCCAATACAGCTTTCTCCACAGGAGCAGCTGAATTCGTAGATACACATAGAAGTGGCATAACCAGGTAACTTATCCTTCAATTGCGGAATCACCATCGATCGGGTCGAATACGATAGGCAGAGGTTGACAGCATTAAACGTTCTCTTTACTGCTCTAGTCAATCTATCCCGTAATACATCGCTAGCCAAATCACCATTGAATTGCAGTTTCAAGAAAAGCGGTTTCTTATTAGACGTCAGGGTCACCATTTTCCTGTTGTTTTACGCTCAAGTGTTTCTTCAGGAAACCCAGTGGATATCCCAATTCAATAAAAATATTATGAATGTGTTGTAATTCTCTATCAATAGTGTCGACTGAGCATATATTAAGAGCTCTATTTGCAAGACATTTGACTAAGTTTCTCTTATAATGAAGAGGCACAAAGCTTTAAAAAAATGTGTGTATTGGCTTGGCGAAGAACTTTTTCTATACACACCCCTGCTGATAGAACCATTTTCTTTTCTACTTAACAAAACGTCCAGAAAATTTAGTTTGTTATCTATTTCCTCCTCACATGTAAATTTAATAGCAGGATGTTTGTTATTAAATAGTTCGTATTCGACTCGATCGATGGTGATTCCGCAATTGAAGGATAAGTTACCTGGTTATGCCACTTCTATGTGTATCTACGAATTCAGCTGCTCCTGTGGAGAAAGCTGTATTGGGCGCACTACCAGGCAACTGAACCAACGAGTTGGTGAACACCTCCCTTCGTGGTTAGGAAAACGTTACGTCAAAACAATGGTGGATGTGTTGTTTAATTTCGCGAATTAGTTGAAGTTATAAATTAACATCGTTGGATGCCGGCCGGATCAGTGGTCTAGTTGGTTAAGCGCCTGGCACGAGACTGATAGGTCCTAGGTTTGAATCTCGCAAGGCGGGGTTGTGAATGCGAACTGCTAAGGAGTCCCACAATAGGACGAAACGTCTGTCTGGTGATTCCAGATTTCCCATGGTTGTCTAGGTTCAATTGACTCATGATCTCAACTGTTGAAATTTAATTATTAATTTAATTAAAAGTTTTAAACGACCATTTCATTCTAATATTGAACTCTTTAGCAGTATACATCGAAGATCCTGTTCATGGGATGCAAACCCAAGGCTTTCGATCTAATTCATGAATGCTTAACTTGTAGATAATTGAGCCAGTATTCGGTGATCTTAGGTTTGAAGCCTGTGAACAGGACCTTCAATGTACATTGATGAAAAGTTCCATATTATGATGAAACAGCTGTTCAGTTCTTTTAAGTTTTTCATGATGGTCTAGATTTAATTGACTCATGAATCCAATTATTAAATTACTACAATCTCTACAAAACCCATTTCTGACGAATCTAATGTGTTAAATGCTATAAATTATATCAGTGAACATTCGTCTATTCATATTCACATTTAGTCATACTTTATAAGTATCGGGTTATAGTGATGTTTGAATGTCATTTAAAACCTGAACCGGTATAGTTTAAACAATCATTTAAAACCTGAAAGTGCTAGATAGCCACTTCTTTCTATTATGGTATTCACTAGTGAGAATTGCATTTTCGCATGACCTCAGTCAGGGATCGAACCCAGGCTCTCCAGTTTTACATACTTATATCTAGCCTTATAAGTTGAGTAATTGTAAGTTGTAACTCTGTGATATGACAAATTGATTGATGTAGTACATTTTAACTGTGTAATATATACTAAGTGATTTAAGCGTATCATTGATTACTTTAGGCTTAAAACGTCATTGTTTAATATTGTATGAAATTATGATTATGTAATGATAAACCGCTAGGTTTTCTATTTCTTTAATCTCTATGAAACGAATAGTATACATTGCACAATGATCCATAGTGAATAATATGTTACTTAATCCTTTTAAATTTCAAACTCTTCATTTGAGCTTAACTAACACATGATAATAGGTTTTGACAGATGCCAAAACCTTTACAACTACACTGATACTATCGATTCTATGAAAATTAATCTAATGGGATTTTTGAAGTTTGTACAATTTTCCTTAGTTATTTAAATCATCAAGTGATCTTAGCTAAATCTCTATCAAAAAAGAACGAAACAGATATCCAATGTATATTAGCTTTCAATGATAATCTATAGTGATATTTATCTCACGGTCCTTATTTCATCTGATGTCTGTAAAGTTTCATGTGTTTGATTTTACTTGCCATAGAAACAAATCTTTATTTATTGCATTATCATAGGATTTGTACATTCTTGTACATGACCAATCCCCATCACTCATTCCCAGATCTATAAGATACAATATTGATGAAAAATATTTAAGTAACACCTTTTCTTTCTGAAATCTTGAAGATAATGAACAAACTTTAGTCAATACAGGACAGTAATTATATTCAAAACATGTCACTTATTGATTATCTGACAATGAAAGTCAACTGATGCTCAGCGAGGCTATAATTTATGAACAAGCCAATCAGAAGTGTTTCAGTGATCTCAAGGTCACAGTGCCAATTTCAGTACTCGATACTCACGTACGATCAGTTCATAGAGGATTTTAGAGAAAAGGTGATAATTGATCGGCTACAGCAAATAAGGCTACTAAGAAGTTCCTTTATTTGTAATTGTAGTAATCAAATAACTTGGAAGAAGATGCTTGTTAAAATAGGGACTTTTTTGTCTAGATCTAGACTAATTGAAAGTATAATCATTGTTGCGAACTGTATAATAACAGCAACATTCGCAGATGTTACTAGAACTTCGGCTATTAATTTGTATAAGTATCGCAGAGACAATATGCGCAATAAAATAAAAAGCTTACATAACTGTAGTGCACACAAACAATATTGAAGCTATGTGATCAGAGATGAAAGAGTTTTTGAGACCATACCGTGGCTCCAAAGGCCTACTATTATGGAGCCATATGGATGATTTCCTCTGCCGTATGTATTACAATTTTAGAACCTCTGAACCTATTTCTAACCTTGACAAATTCTTGAACCATGTAAACGAAACGTATCCACTGTAATTCTTTGGTTTGGTATAATATATTTTACTAACTGTTTTCTGATTGGTTAATATTTCCAAAGATCCACTTGGAATTCGTTCAAAGGTCGTCCATAAATTAGTCTCGCCAAAACGTGAACATAGAAATTACTTTAATGTAAATGAGAGTTCTTCATATTATACTAAATATATTTCATTTTTGTATTAGTGGCTTGATTCCTCCAATTGATGTTTAAGGCTGCAATCGATTAGTCTCTTATTAGTATATGTGCATCCAATCTGGGTCGCTTCAGTACTAACTTAAGTCACAAGGATTATAAGCAAATATGGATAGTGGTTAGCAGTGGAATCCAGCTGAACGCACGTTATGTCCTATTTGAGACTCGTCAGCTGGATGTACGTACATTCCAGAGTTGATGATCCCTCTAGGACTCGAATCCAGTACCTTTCGTTTCAAACACCACCCGTCATAATGTATATGACTTAAGGCAATATCAAGGTAATCCGCACAGGATGCAAATATTCTAACAAGAGACCAATCAATGGTAGTGCTAAACAACAATGGAAAGATTTAAGCAAACAATATCTGGTTTTAATAGTTTTCCTTCTTAACTGCTATGTAGGTTGAAAAGAAATTCCTTTATATTTCTTATATACTGATCTAAATAAATATTCCACTTTGAGACTAGATTCTAGAATTCAATGATTATGTTTCTACAATTGATCAGTTGAAATCCTAAGCATCAACCAATACAAAAATGAAATAAATTTCACCCTATTGCATAAACCGGTGGTTACTTAGACTCAATAGCTTTGTAAATAATGATATGGAATTTGAAACGAACGGTACTGTTTTTAAATCCTGAAGTGGGCATCAACTCTGTGATGTGAGTACATCCAACTGATGAGCCTCAAATAAGACGAAACGCACTTCCTAGATTCCACTATAAGTCGTCATCATCTCATATCTTATACTAAATATATTTAGTACGAAAGAAAGTATATATATATATATATATCATACGGAATTCCTATGATGGATTAAACTGCAAAATCTCACATGGAGAATAATTGACAGATTCGTTCAAGGTAAAGACCGGTGTTAGGCAAGGTTGCTTACTTTCACCCTTTCTCTTTCTCCCGGTGATCGACTGGATCATCAAGACGTCAACATCCGAGGGGAAGCATGAGATACGTTGGACAGCTATGATGCAGCTGGACGACCTAGATCTCTCAGATGATCTGGTCCTTCTATCGCAAACGAAACAACAAATGTGGGGAGAAGACGACCAGTATAGCAACAGCCTCAGCAACAGTAGGTCTCAACATACACAAAGAGAAGAGCAAGATTCTCCCATACAACACAGCATGCTACAATCGAATTACACTTGACAAAGAGGACTTGAAAGGTGTGAAAACCCTTACATAACTAGGGGGCATGATTTATGAACACGGTGGATCCGATGTAGATGTGAAGGCGCAGACCAGCAAACCGAGAACTATATATATCTATAAATGAAGAACATCTGGAACTAAACACAACGGTTTGTCAACCAACACCAAATTCAGAATTTCCAATACAAATATCAAAACAGTTCTTCTGTATGGGATGGAAACTTGGAGAACCACGAAAGCCACTATCCAGAACATACAAGTGTTTGCTAACAGTTGTCTATGAAAAATACTTCGGATCCATTGGTCAAACATTATCAGCAACAACCTACTGTAGGAGAGAACAAATCAGATTCCAGTGGAGGAAAGAATCAGAAAGAAGCGATGGAAGTGGATAGAACACATATTGATGAATGCATCCAAGTGTGTCACAAACCAAGCCCTTATTTGGAATGCTCAAGGTCAAACGAGAAGAGGAAGATGTAAGAACACATTACATCGAGAAATGGATACAGATATTAGAAGAATGAACAAGAATCAGATAGACCCGGAAAGGAAGGCATGGGGTAGAGTGAATTGGAGAATGCTGGTTAGCAGCCTATGCTCCATTGGGAATAACATGCGTAAGTAAGTAAGTAAGTAAATAATAGATACACACAGTAAACTACAACTCACCATTAGGTATCTCTTGAATTAATTCATATATAATTTGATCATTTTCATTTGTTTCATAATTTGTTTTTACTATAATACTAAATAATTGTTGATGAATTTGTATACCTTTCATTAAAATTAAACAAATACTTGATTTAGTTTCCATATATACAGGATTCAATATAGTTGGATAAATTAGTTTCGATAGTGATAAATGATCATGGTTACTAAATATTGATTTTTTATTAGAATTTTTTTGTATCTCATTAAAATAATTACAATTTATATCATGGATAATGAATTGATTTATTAGTTGTATATGAGAAATATTCAATAAGGAATGTAGATCATTGAATGTATGAATAATTTCAAAATGTATAGTTTGTATTGTTGTTAATGATGGTAAACCATAATCGGAACATTCAATAAGTAAATATAAATCAGTGATTTTATCAGGATCAAATATCTATGATGTAAATTAAAAACAAAAAGAGAAAGAGAGATTTATTGTTTTGTTAAAGGAATAACAAATGAAATAACCTGGACAACCGTTTCGTTCTAGTATGGGATTCGAACAGAGGATCTGTCAATCTCGTGCATGAATGTTTAATCTATAAATGTCAACTCAGTAGTGTACGAGACTGATTGATCCTGGTTTTGAGTGCAGTTGGTGAGGGTGTCGAGGCTAATTTCCTTTATATCTGATTCTAACGAATGCTAATTAAGTATTTAATGCAGGCTAAATCTCTTAGTAGAATTAAGAATTTATTTGAGATTATTCAAGAGCCTGAACACCAGTTATAGAGATAGTTTATTAATAAAGATTAGTAAAATCCGCAAGCGTACAGGAAGCAAACACACAGGAAAACCAAGTGAGAGAGAGTGTGTGTGAGCGAGAGAGAGAGAATGTTAAAATCCATATATATTTATGAGTGTTAATGGGTTGTGGATAAATTATTGATTGTCTGTGTGTTACAACCAATCGGAGAATAGATTAAAGATTGAGTGACTGATTGATTCAACAACTGATATACAGAACACTGTAACTAACGATGGATGACAGTAATTAGGAGATCGAGAAAAACTTGATAAGAAATAAGAAAATGGTAATCAAGTAACTAAGTGTACTATAACAGTCGACAATTACCCTAGAACACATAAATATAAACACACACTATCAAATAACAGAAAAGATCATCATGGAATTATGTTATTTCTTAACAAAAGTTGTATAGTATCAGGAGGGGTTTTGTGGAGATTGTAGTAATTACAATAGTTGAGATCATGAGTCAATTAAAGCTAGACCACCATGGAAAACCTGGAAGCGCTGGATGCCGGCTAAGTGATCTAGTTGGTTAAGCACCTGACTCGAGACTGATAGGTCCTGGGTTCGGATCCCGTGAGACAGGTTCGCAGATGCGCACTGCTGAAGAGTCCCACAATAGGACGAAACGGCCGTCCAGTGCTTCCAGGTTTTCCATGGTGGTCTAGCTTCAATTGACTCATGATCTCAACTATTGAAAAGTTGGATAAGCTGAAATCTTTATAGAGATGACTGAAACTTGGTCTTTTTTCTTCGTCTTTTTTATTGAGGTCATGAATCGATTGATGTTAGAACACCATTGAAAATCTGGAATCACTGGATGGTCATTGAGTTCTCTTCAATAGTGTTCTTTAGTGTTCATCTATAAAGTAAATGGCATTAACACTAAAATACCACTGATATTATTCTGTAACCATCTAATTTCTCCAACCTCTATTTATTATTAATACAGATTAATGAGAAATAAATGCTTAGGTATAAAGTTTCTAAGTATTTTTGACTTCATATATGATCTCAGATTACTAAAATCAGGCATTTAATGTAAGGAAATTAATCGATTTATAAAAAGATTAGAAAAGTTGATATACTCTAACAAATCACAAGTTACCAATAATTGTAGTATATGAATTGCACAAGCAGGTGGTTATCAAGACTCAGTATCTAAATCTATAACGTGATGGCATTTGAAGCAAACGGTATCGGGTTCGAATCACGGAGTGAATAACAGCTCCAAGATGCAAGCACATTCAACCGGCGAATCCCGAATAGGATGAAATGTACGTCCTGTATTCCACTGCTGTCCACCATCCACCTTTGCTTATAATGTAATATACAGTATTTACTATGAAAATAGTTGAATCAAATCTCAGCATAACCGCGTTAAATAACATTAAAATCAAGAATGATTTAATCTTACAGATATATACCATGTTAGTTAAACATTAAGTAAGAGTACGTGTTTATTCTGTTTTATTGAACCACTGATAAGTGTCGTTTATCCGTATGTACCGTTCTGATTAACTCATCTTCTTCAAATCTCCACGCATGCAATCATGTTGTAAAATATAAACAAACAGCCTAGGAAACACTTAGAAACTAACAAACAATCAATAGATTATAATTTTTCAAAGTAAGACATTTACTATCAGTGAAATCAAAGATATGTATCCTATCCTAAATATCACTAATCCACCAGATATATCTGCAACCAGTTTTGATATTTATACATAAACGTAAACATGACATCTATCTTGACAAATACTCAACACACATAACGACTGATCTACCAAATCGAAGTCATCAATGCTTTATGTAACAGATATATACTTAGAATAAATAGTGATATCAAAGTAATCCACTCACACAGTAACCGTATATTTAAATAGAAATGGATCAATGACAGTCATTAACCATGAATAGGTAACCCAAATATTCAAGCTGGCCGACTTGTTACATAATAACAATATCCAAACTGGAAATATAGTTGGTTTACAGTGATGTAGCTTTTTTGTCAAACATAGTTACTAGTTTTTATAAAAGGAACACTAATTATATAAATTAGGCCTGATCATACACAAGGGAAAACCAAGGTCCTCAAATACAACATGGAGAACAGCGATCCAATCACTCTTGATGGCGAAACTCTGGAAGATGTAGAATCCTTCACATATCTAGGAAGCATCATCGATGAACAAGGAGGTTCAGATGCAGACGTAAAAGCGAGGATTGGCAAAGCAAGGGTTGCATTCCAACAACTGAAGAACATATGAAACTCAAAACAACTTTCAACCAATATCAAAGTCACAATCTTCAATACGAACGTCAATAGAGTTCTGCTGTATCTTCCAGAACTACTACAACCATCACCAAGAAGGTACAAGTATTTATAAATAGCTGTCTACGCAGGATACTCAATATCCATTGGCCGGATACCATTAGCAACAGCCTACTGTGGGAGAAAACAATCCAGCTTCCAGCTGAGAAGGAAATTAGGAAAAGACGATGGAAATGCATAGGACATACATTACGCAAATCATCAAAGTGCATCAAGATGCAAGCCGTAACTTGCAATCCTGAAGGGAAACGGAAAACAGGAAGGTCAAACAACATATTACGTTGGTAAATAGAACCAGATATGAAAAAGATGAATAGGAACTGGAAGGAGCTGGAAAGGATTGTCCAGGACAGGGTTGGATGGAGAATGCTGGTGAGCGGCCTATGCTCCTTCACGAGGAGTAACAGGAGTAAGTAAAGTAAGTAAGTAAAAGTATAGTTAGAAAAATATATTTATCCCATTTCCCGAAGCAATCACAAGTTTAAGATTCTATTTTTTATATCCATTGAGAATCAGTTTTAACAAGCTGTCATCTATCAATTGATTGGTCGAGTAGTCTTGTAAAAAGAAGAAAAAAACAATAGAGAAGATCAAAATATGAATGACGGTGAATGTTTCAATACTAACACAATACTGTTCAAGATTAAAATGGTGTATTTAAGATCAACTAGTTGATAAAAATAACTAAACTCTAGTTTGTAAGTAGTTTTGTGGTGTGAGTTACTTATATCCGTATAAGTAGTACATAACGGAGGTCAGGCATATAACGTATTTCAGTAGAAGATCGATGAGGAAACAGCGGAAACGGAACGCAATTTGTATGAAAAGGTATGAACGGTAAAATCTGAGACAATGGACTGACATTCTCAAAAGGAACAGTGAAGTTTGAGACAATGGATTGATATTTTGCAAATTAACTATTTACCATATGGTTCTCAGATTTTATTGAGATGCTCTATAATTTTGTGCTCAAATACAGTCGATTGTCCGCACTCGTATTGTCGTATACTACATTAGACGTCGCTGCCAACCAGGAATGTGGAGACTGCTGTTCTGTGAACCCCGTTGAGGGGCTAGGGCTGAGGTGCCGGTTGGGACAGTCTGGTGTGGGGAGGTGACGCCAGGCGGCATTTTCTGGTTGGGCGGCGTCAACTGTGACGGGTGCTGTCGACGGAGAGAAGCGGTGGGACGTGAGGATGCTGGGCGGATATCGGATGTAGATGGCTCGTGAGGTCGCTGAAGCGTGGGCGTTGAACGCCCCAGGTGCCGGGAGGATGTCGGATGCTGATGCCCCGGCAGGTCGGCGGAGCTATGGACGTCATCGCGCCACAGACCCGACATTTCGACGGAGAGAGTGACACAGACTGCAAAGAAAAAGATATTGGCAGGGCAAACAGAACCACCGCAAGAACGCATGCTTTAAAGGGTGGACGAGTGTGGTATGGGTTACTTATATCCATATAGGTAGTGCACAACGGTGGTCAGGCATAAAATGTATTTCAGTAGAAGATCGATAAAGAAACAACGGAAACGGGACGTAATTTGTATGAAAAGGTATGAACGGTAATTTTGTGCTCAAATACATTCGATTGTCCTCACTCGTGTTCTTATTCACTACAGGTTTTGTACCTTCGTTCGGTTTAATGAAGCTCAGTTAAAACTACATTTTAAATCTATTACTTATGTTAAAGAAAGGTCTCGAAAAATGTCACAGATAAACTCAAATGAAACAGACAAATAATCATGTAAAGGTTTATATTTCACATAACTAGCAACATACTAGATGAATGAGTTACTAAAAGAAATATATTAATCCGACTATTACTAATGTTGTTCTGTATAGTAGAGATCTTTCGAACATTGATTTAGTTAAAGCGAAGAACTTCAACAAAGAAACTTGTATCTTTGTAATACAGCTCATACATACAGTTAATTGTATTCACTTTTCAACTAAGTAAAGTGTAACAAATATGACGGAAAATGGATGGTGGCTAATAGTGCAATCTAGGATACACTCCACTTTGTCCTATTTGGGACTTGTCAATTGGATATACCTACATCCCATAGTTAATATTCACTCGAGGATTCGAACTCAATGCCATTTGTTTTAAATGCCACTATATCATCCAGTAAGTTACTGAGTTCAAGTAGCCACTAGCTTGTGCAATAACTTGGTTAAATAATATGTAAATTACTAATGTTAACTTATTGTATCATTGTGTAATTCTATCATTGATAACATTACATATATTTGAATTTACCAGTCAATTACATGAAATAAAACAGTTCTATTCGACATATTCAAGACTCATTGTTTCGTATGTTGCGTTTTGTAATGCAAGCGATTGTGATTAAATACAATCTTACAAGCAAGTGTTTGACAGGCTATGAATATGTTGGCTACATTGTTATTCTATTTGGTTGGTTTCAAAAATGATGAACGATAATACAACATTGGTTACTCGTTGATGTTTATCAAGTGCAAATCTTTCATTGCTCAAAGACTATGATCTCAGTGTGAATAGTTTTATGGCAAGGTGAATTGTTGTCAGATAATGTGATACATGTATTTAATTCTTTCAGGGAGCATTAGCATAGCAACAAAACAAGGTTCAAGATTACTAATCAATTATCGTTAACTATTCAGTCTTTTGTGAGAATAATCTGTTCTTTATGTATAATTATGGTTTATAATTAATTGAGTGATCCATATAACACACAGAATTTAAGTTGTATGTAAATGTGTTGAATTGACACAAATAGGTGCTATTTTATTCAGTATTCATATTTTGGTCATCAGATACGTTCTGACTAATGTAGTGTTAAGCCCCCTCCCCAACTGATTGTGCTTGTGACGTTATCAACTATTGAAATTGAGATTCACAGTTACTGGTTTCCATGGACTGTAATCACGCCAGTCTTTTTTTTTCTTTAGCTTTTCGATATTTGTCAATCAATTTCTATGTGTAGCAATTGTCTCTTAGACATTTTTCGACGTTTATCAATTCTTCTTCCAGTTTGTCTGTGGTACATATTCTTTCTGTTGTGTAAAATTAGTGCTTTGACCAACTGTTTCTCGTAACTGATTGAATAAAACTATTGAAATTCTGGGAAAGACGGATATTGAACTATTGAACTATTTTATTATATTTTATCATTTTTACTAGGAAAAAGACCTATTCTGTTGATCAGCTGTCTTATCTTCTGACTTCATTGCAATTGGGTAGACTAGATCTAACATCAACAATTCAATCTGATCTACAAACATCACTCGGCTATATCTTATCATCATATTATATTTAGGAGACCAAGAAAATTGTTCGAAAAATGCCCAAAAGTGATCTGAAAACGCTGTGAAATATTTTTATCCAATCAGCATTGAGTAGAAGTACCTAAGTTACTTCCATTGAAAATCTGGAAGCACTGGACGGCTGTTTGTCCCATTGTGGGACTCCTCGGCAGTACTTATCCATGATCTCGCTCACGGGATTTGAACCTGGAGCATTCGATCTAGCACGCGAACACTTAAGCTCTAAATCACTGAGGCCCACAACAGGACGAAAATGTCATCCAGTGCTTCAAGTTATTCAACGGTGGTCTAACATCAATCAGTTCAAGAACTCAATCAAAAACTTAATGATCTCCACAATTCCTATACTGATAACGATCTCAAATACACTTAGAAAGTCAAGAATCACGTGTCAAATTTTCGACTGAATGATTACCTATCCTACTACTATGTTTAAAACTTTCTTACTTACGCCTGTTACTTCTTGTGGAGGAGCATAGGCCACGCACCACCACTCGCCATCCAACCCTGTCCTGAGCAATCTTTTCCAGCTCTTTCCAGTTGTTATTCATCCATTTCATATCCGATTCTACTTACCGACGTAACATGTTCTTTGACCTTCATGTTTTCCGCTTACCTTCACGATTCCGAGTTGATACTTGCCTCTTGATGCACTTTGATGATTCCCGTAATGTATGTCTTTTCTCAATTTCCTTCTCAGCTGGAAGCTGGATTGTTTTCTCCTACAGTAGGCTGTTACTGATTGTATCCGGCGAATGGATGTTGAGTATCTTGCGTAAACAACTATTTATTAATACTTTTACCCTTTTGATGCTGCTTGTATTAGTTCTGCGTGTTTTAGCTCTGTACAGTAGAACTGTATTGACGTTCGTATTGAGGATTCTCACTTCGATATTGGTTGAAAGTTGTTTTGAGTTCTATATGATCTTCAATTGTAACAATGCATTATGTTTGACAGGGTTCAAGAAACATCTAGAAACTCAAAATCATTTGAAATACAATAAATACCCTCAATATTCTGTACATAACTTTCATTTAGAGTAAAACATTCTTCCCATATTTCACATCTTTTCCCTCATATTCATGTTGTCATGTAGAGTTAGCTTGAGTGTTATTAGTAGAGCTTAAGCAACCATTTTAATTTTTATGTTTTTTTAATAAATAAAAAAACAGAAAAAAATCACTACCTAGTTACTAACCATTTAAACTTACCATATTAGTTCTTAATTGATAATTATTGTGATTTGAAAATGAATCTATATTACTATTATTAGTAGTCGTAGTAACCGGCATTCCATCTTGTTTCCTTCCTGTTTTACGTTCTTCTATTGATTTTTTTATAATTTTTTCATTCAATAATGAATTAAATTGAATTTTTTTCTTTTTTTGTTCTTTATATTCTTGTTGATCATCATTAAATGGATTCATGAAATGAAATGGCTCCAATAAAATAAATGATTGTTTATCATTTCTATAATAATGACGATCAATATAATTGTTGCTATGCTGATATATTTTTGAATAAATCAATAATTGATTTTTAATTAAACACTGAACTGTACCATTTTCATTTAAATCTGGATCATTTATTATTAAAATATTAATAATTGTATTTATAGGTTGATTACCAATCATTTTAGTATGAATAGAATAATTATTTAATTGATTAATAATAGAACTCATATTGATTGATTGATTATCATCATCGATAAATTGCCAAATTTTATTGATTAATTGATTATTGATTTTAATCATATGATTATTATGATTATGATTATTGAATTGATCAATTGAATACCATGGTGATTGTTTGAATTTAGATTGTTGAAATGTTTTTGTTTCATCAATTAAATGTATCATTGGATAATTATCATTAATATCTAATATTTTTATTGTAATAAATAAATTAGAACTACGTTGTGGTATACCTTGATCATATGCTGTAATCATGAATTGATGTAAACCATTTGATAAAGGTGATTTTTCACGATCTAATGATTCTTTTATTATTAATTCACCAGTTGTAGAATTAAGTCTAAAAAACTAAGAAACAAAAGAAAAGAGGGGTGGGTGGTTGGTGTTCATAATCCTATGACTATTGAATTATTAAGTCTATGAAATTGGGGAACATTTTAAAGCATGACTTATTGTAATGAGTTAGTTTAACTAATATATATAGGACATTCTTAACTATATTCTCAAGTCAACCATGATAAAAGTGTTCAAAAGCTCATCGAGCGCAACAGCTTTTGTGTGACGCATATACATTTGGTGCCCTCTTGTACCAATATTTATGGGTTCAAATAAATAAATAAACAAGCTCATAAAATCAAATTCATCAAATATCTTCTAGTACACATGGTAACTGTTTTATTGTTTCAATGATGTAATACAGAATACAAAGTGAACAATATGAATGTGATAATAATGAAATCTTAAAAGATTACATCATGAAATGTTAGCAAGATATAGATTGAATTAAAGTATGCTCAATGTACAATTGCTTTGATGTACGCTGATTGACTAATTCTGATCCAATTAACGTTAGTCGATATTTGGAGAACACTTTATAAACTTCTTATGTCAAAACTATAAATATGCTAATGTTTTTTTCCTCATTGCGTTTCTTAATTCCATATCACCTTGTTATTTGAAATGTAGTCTGTTTCCCTGTTCAACCGTGTTATGATTTGAGGACTTATTGAGTGAATTGGTATCCAAGTATACTAAGCAATAGGAATAGATGGGTTGTAATAATAGAGAATTATAACATGAAATTATTATGTATTTTATATAGTGAGTTTTAACAAAACTATTTGACCTTATTCAAGACAAATACGTTTGTACATGATTATAGATGTCGATAGTCTTTGCCAGGATAAGTCAACTATTTGTTGTGTTCGGTTGTCGCAATTGTTGTGCCGGAAAAACGCTGATCACTTATATTCGGAATGATGGACCACGGCAATTCCCACGATGCGAAAGTAAGAACAAAAAGACTAGTATAAGTGAAGATTTATTAGCCCCGAATACTACTACTACTACTACTACTACTACTACTACTACTACTACTACTACTAATATTACTATTACAATTGATTGTACACCCATTTTGATTAATAATTAGTATTAAATCACATACTCAGTTATAACAAATCACAGACTGTGAACATACTTCATGTTCAACTGAATACAAGAATATCTCGTATATTCTACAGAAGAAAATATCATACTGGGAAAACAATCAAATACTACACTGAATGATCCTCATATTGAATCAAAACGGATGTTGAATGATGAACAAAACTCATAATGAGTAAATCAATGGAAAATTGACTTTTCTTTCCATCATATCAAGCAATAATTAATCTACTGGGTATTACTCAGGTCTTAGTAATAATAATAATAACAACAATTGAAACTTCACTGGTTGACTGGTTGTGATCATGAGTCAATTGAAGCTAGACCACAATGGAAAACCTGAAAGCACTGGACGGTCATCTCGTCTTACTGTGGAATTCCTTAGCAGTGTGCGTTCATGGTCCTGCCCCTCCGCGAGATTCGAACCCAGGACTTATCAGTCTCGCGCCAGGGGCTTAACCAACTAGACCACTCAGCCGGTTTTTATTATTCATATTATAAGTTAACTTTAGCTGTACAACCACTGATATACATCATAAAGTAATGTACAACTATTTCATTCTTATATGAAACTTTTAAGTAAAACTCATTCTGATAATAATAATAAATGGATTCATGAGTTGATGTAAACTAGACAACAATTGAAAACCTAGAAGTATTTAGTGATCATTTAATCCTAATATAAGACTTCTCAATAGTACACATCAACGAACCTGAAACAAAAAGTGTTCAACTCAGAATAAACGGTGAAAAAGAATCAAATCTCATAGGGAATGTTAATTTTTACAAGATTTCAGATACATTTTGTTGATGACTCTCAAATAACATGAAACACAGATTCTAGGTTTACTAGGAACTGACTCTACTAATCATTGCTTACAAATGGCTTGTGAATTAAGGTAACATTGAGGCATACGCACAGTATGTACATATGCCAATAACAGACTGATCAGTTGCAGTTTTAAATCTCAATGGGAAGATACAAGCTAACATCGTTGGATACTGGCTCAATGGTATAAAGGTTAGGCGTTCGCTAATGAGGACTGGGTTTCTGTGTTGAACTCCATTTATTGTGTAATCGTGGATGCGGACTACTGAGCACTCTTATACTAGAATGAAACGGTCGTCCAGTAATTCAACGTTTTCAATGGTGGTCTAACATTGATCCATTCATTATATCAATCTAAACATTATTTTCATTAACTTAATAGATTTACTCAATTTGTTTGTATATTCATTCGTCTGTTTCAATACAATCACCATAAAGGATTTTCTTTAAAATTCCATACTCAATAACATTTGGTTTTCAATCTTTCCTACTATTTGGTAGACTAATGATCATTGATTTCCTGATTATCTTCCTTCCGTGTAAATAAAATACATCACTGTTTCGTCGTAGTACGAGACTCCCCCGTAGTGCGCATCCACGATCCCGAAACAAACGGAGTCCAACACAAAAACCTCAGTCTCATGAGTGAACGCTTAATCTCTACACCACTGAGCCATCATTCAACAGTGTTAATGTCTAACTTCAATCGATTCAGGATCTTACGCAATCATTCATCCATTATGAGAATTATGCAATCATTATCCAACCGTGAATTGAACCCTGAACCTCCGAAACATGTTCGTTGTAGTAAACAGATGATAATTATTATTAGAATGGGGATTTGTACAGATTATAGTCATTTCATCAGATAAATCCACAAACTCCCATTCTAATAATAATAATAATAAAGACTACTATTTTTATTTCAATCAATATCAAAGTCAGAATCTTCAATAAGAAAGTCAAAGCAGTTCTACAGTATGCAGCTGAACCTTCCAGAGCTACTACAACCATCATTAAGAAGGTACAAGTATTTATAAATAGTTGTGTACGTAAGATACTCAACATCCATTGGCCGGATATCATCGGTAACAGCCTACTGTGGAAGAGGACAAACTAGCTTCTAGCTGATGAGGAAATTAGGAAAAGATGATGGAAATGGATAGGACATACATTGAGGAAATCATCAAACTGCATCACAAGGCAAGCCCTATCTCGGAATGGTGAAGGGATGCGAAAAAGTAAGGCCAAAGAACACATTACATCAGGAAATAGAATCAGATATGAAATGGATGGATAACAACTGGGAAGAGCTGAAAAGCATTGCTCAGGATAGGATTGGATGGCGAGTGCCGGTGAGCGGCCTATGCTCCTTCACGAGGACTAACAGACGTAAGTAAGAAAGTAACTATTTTGATTATTGATATTAATAAATGTTATATCAAAATTACCGTTAAAAACTCACATAAATGTTATTTAAATCAATGAACATTATATGAAAGATCTTTGAATGTTTTCTACAGGCGCCTCAATTAATCAATCTTTCTTTTTAGCACTAATGTATGTTCTTGACACAGGAAATAATAATTAGAGGTGAATGGAAACATATTTTCATGTATAGGGATAGTTTAATATAAACTTACATTGAGAATTATGAACTTGAGTAAGGTTGATGAATGATTTTCTTCCTGTATTTCACAAGGTTAAACCGTGTTAGAATTAATTAGGATTAAAGAACTTTTAAGGTTAGACTTAATATTATATCTATGACTGTTGTTTGTTCCAACACTATTCCATGATATTTAAAGTGTGTAAGATTATTGAGAAAGGCTGTAATGATACTATTAATATATAGATGAATGTGCGAATCCACGATCCCATCTCGGGGGATTCGTACCCAGAAATTATTGGTGTTGCGGGCAAATGCCTAATCTCTAGATCACTGAGCCTGACGGTTAATTCATTACAGTTTATAGGTGAAATTACTTTGGAAATGTACACATACTGTCATTAAATAACAATTCTAGCGTAATAGATTTTCAGACAAACCTTTTTGAAAACCGTCTAATTCAGTTGTTCTGTAAATACCCTCGTAAAATTTTGTATAACACGTTATTCATTAAACTATCAAGTTTAGATTAACACCAACTAGAGATGGCGGATAATATTTGTAGCTCAAGTGGAATCCGGATATCAACTCTGGATCTTCAAAAAAGGGGAGGTGTGCTGATGATATCGTTCATAATGAATAATAAAACATTCTACGATACAAAAAGCATAGTCATCATTTGAAGATGACAGCTATCGATTTGAAGTCTCAAAATCAATTTTCGATTGATTTACTCATTATGAGTTTTATTCAACATTCAACATCCGTCTTGATTCAATATGAGGATCATTGAAATTGTTGTTTGTTTTATCAATCTTATCTAGTTCGTTCTTTTTTTTCAAAAAAACATCATTTTGTCTCCAACTATGAAATTTCATTCATGGCGCCACTTCAATAAGTGATTTGTTATAAGTGAGTATGTGATTTAATTCTAATTATTAATCAAAATGGGTGTACAATCAATATATAAATGAGTGTATTTTAGACTACTTGATCATCGTTCGTCGTCGTGTTTTGGGGCTAACAAATCTTCACTTATACCAGTCTTTGTGTTCTTACTTTCTCATCGTGGGAATTGCCGAGGTCCCTCGTTACGTGAATAACGGAATGAAATAAGTTTCCTCGGCACAGCAATCAGCGACGACCAAATATAACAAGAACACACTAAGTCGTGAATTGGAAGGAGATATGAAAAGGATGAGTCGCAACTGGAAAGAACTGGAAAGGACTGTTCAGGACAGGATTGAATTGAGAGTGCTTGTCGGCGGCCTATGTTCCTCCACGAGGAGAAACAGGCGTAAGTAATTAAGTCACTTATTTTTACTTGTTAAATTATCTGTTAAATGTGTCTTTTCTATTTGGCATATCTCTTCACAATTTCACTTTCTTAATTATGTGGCGCATATTTATTTTGATACTCGGTTGTACCAGTACTTGTAAGAAATAATGAAAATGAATAATAAGTCCCCATTCTAATAATAATTATCATCTTCCCAATAATGACTAGATTCAAGATGGATTTCATCGAGTTCTAGCGAGAAATCATGTCAAGTGGAGTCCAGTTCGTGTTGAGTGTGAGACAGTCAAGCAAACTCATCAATCTTTATGATTCAATAAATTGTGTGACTTTGATCAAAAGAATGGAATTCAACAAATCACTATTATTTAATCAGTAGGTTCATGAATACCATTTCATTCATAATAAATGATTTGATCAGTAATCAACCCATTGTAATAATCACCAATGATTTTGAACAGAGTAAAACAACGATGTATAAAAGTGAGTAGATATTTTACTGTACTGTTCATTGCTATCTTGAAATGTTTATCACTTCACTAACTATTGATCTATTGACTTAGGTAATGTGGATAACAATCGAATGTAGGATATGTAACATTTCGTTTTATTAGGAACTTGTCATCTGGATACACCTGCATCCCTGGTACAATCGAAGGTGACGAGATTCCTCTCACTCTCTTCAAATACTCTCACATGGCTACATACATACAAACACTGATAACGAAATCCTACTCACTACCTTCACTCGGTCAGGGTGTTATTTACGAAATTGAAAGGATAAAAAGCCAATGTCCGATCATTTGACCAGACTGGTGGATATGGAGCAAGTTGATAAACCCTGGTTTCAAACCAATAATCAACATAGACTCCAATATCTTAAGTTAATAAATAGTGTATGAAATTTTTGTTAGTCAAGTGAATAAAGTAATAACGTTTTAAGATTATGAGTTCAATGAACATCAACTCTGAGATGCACGCGTTCAAAATAGAATAAAACTTTGAGCATCCTAAATCCCATTATTAGTCAAGTACCATGGTTACTTCAAGGCAATACACATAGGATGCACATATTCCAGCTAAGATTGAGTGACACATCCACCATTGTCTTCAGTGAATTACTATCTCACAACAGACCTGGTTGAACTTCACTAGTGACTACTTCTGAGGAGTCCCAGGATAGGACGAAACGGCCATCCAGTGCTTTCAGATTTTCCATGATAGTCTAGCTTCAACTGACTCATGATCTTAACCATTGACATTACTATAATATCTACCAAACCCATCTGAACTTACAGATATATTAAAGATAATTTTGTATTTCAATGAAATAAACGATAAAACAATGATTTTCTGTTGTTCTTTTTTACCCTTTTCTTATTTATTTATTCATCACAATCCTCTACACAAAATTAAACACAATATCTTTGTTAAGCATAGATGGATAGTGGTTAGCAGTGGAATCCAGGACGCACGTTTTGTAACGTAAAGTAATAAATAAACTCTGCACAATAAAAAAAAACAATCTCAAGGTGAATATCAAAAATATGGCCTTGACTCGTTGATTATTTCATATTGAATAGTTCAAATTTTATTACGATTATGTTTGTTTTCTCTTTTAGTTTCTTTTATTGTTTTTCTTTTTCGTTTAAAAATCTTATGATTTAAAGCTATATCGAGACAATCCGCATAAGATGCACATATACCAACAAGTATCTGATCGACTGCAGTTCCAAAACAACAAGATATGGGTATTATGATGATATTGAGGTTTAACTAAAGAGGATAATGTCGTTATTGTTATTATGATATGATTGACCTAAAGATATAAATATTTATATTGACCAAAAAATGTCTTAGGTAACTAACTCTTATTAAAAGAAAGAAAGAAAGAAAGAAAGAGATTTTCCTTGAATTTTTTTGAATGAACTAAAAAAAGTAACAGAATAGTAGAAGATTACTTCCGTTCTAATTCAATATAATAATTACTCTATATAGTATTTGTTTTCCTTTATGATATACAATATTCTTATATTCCATTGATATGAACTATGCTCAATATACGTGATCTCATCCTAATTATCAATCATAAATGGATGTATGAATCAATATATAAATGAGTGTACTTTCAACTAGGATCGTCTTCGTCGTCGTCGTCGTATTTTGGGATCAATACATCTTCACCTATCCCAATCATTATGTTTTTACTTTCATATCGTAAGAATTACAGAGGTCCTTCGTTTCAAGTATAAGTGATAAGCGTGTGGAGATAGGCCTGATAAGTTTATTTTGTAAATAGTTTTTTATGTTATTTGTATTTATTCTGTCAATTTTTCACTGCATGTACATTTATCATTAAAGGATTTTACGAGTTGTTTAAGTGTATGACCGTGAACACCCTTTCTTCCGTCGTGTTACTCTCATAGCATGACACATGATGTGACGTACTAACACATACACTGTCACATACATACCTCTTGTTCTCCATTCGCTCGTGATTCTGTTGACTGAATTCTAGATTAAATACCGTCTACATTTATGCCCCCAAATGCCCTGGTATGGCCGAGAGTGGGGTGGGCCCGCCACCCCTATCGAAATGCTCTCACACGGCCACGCGTATACAGCCTCTGCCTTCTCGTGGCGGGGGTGTTGTTTACGAAAAGGGAATGTCCGACGCTTTAACCGGATTCCTAACCAATGGTGCACATGGGCTCTAGTATCCTGCGGGAACAAATGGCGTATGAACCAATCTTTGGTCACCAGCCACCATGGGACTGCATCTCCTCACGATGCTCCACTGCCTTGTGGGTCAGACCTTTAGGTCAAAGTCTCGAGGTGTATTCCCCTAAGAAAAACACCTGTTTCGGTCTGGGCACCCAGTCAGTATCACAGCCCACACACACACAAATATGGTGTGGCGCATATATATTTGGTGTCCTCTTGTACCAATATTTATGTGTTGAAATAAATAAATAATATGTATATCATATTCTGCGTTTGGTTATACCACTGGAAGGACATCAATCTTACTGGAACCTTCAATCATCTATAATTGTGGATTTTTGTACCAGACTCAATCGGAATACGCATAAACTTTGCTGAATTAAGTAACGTCTCTAATTTTTTTGTAGTGTTTATAACATTTAACTGATATATATTAACATTATTATCTGTGCTTAATAACTCAGTTATCATTTTTGAGTTCATATATTATTTTGTCCACCACAAGTGTTTCTGACATAACAATCAACGATGACCATCTATAGATATATATAACAAGTAGCATTCAACTGACGACAGGGATTTCGGGAAAATTTAAACAAAAAAAAAGACTTTCACAGGTTGAAATCATGAGTCAATTGAAGCTAGACCACCATAGAAAGAAAACCTGGAAGCACTGAACGGCCATTTCGTCCTAGTATGGAACTCCTCAGTGGCAGTGCGCATCCACAATCTCACACCCCGCGGGTTTCGAACCCAGGACCTACTGGCTTGGCGCGTGAGCACTTAACCACAAAACCCATTCTGAAAAAAAAAAGAGACTTACCGATTTTGTTAAAGAATGTGTATACTGACTTATTCTATATTGTATTTCAGCATTTTTTCCAATATCTTTATCAATTGCATGAAATTTTGTTACAATATAACCAATTGGTACATCTTCACATACTTCTATCAATAAAGGTTCATTGGATTGATATACTACTTCATCACTATTACTATTATTACTATTATTATTATTATTATTATTATTATTATTATTATTATTATTGATTATTGATTTCATTATAGTAAATTCAGGTTTACAATCATTCACATCATGTATATAGATAATCAATGGTAGCGTAGTTGTATGTTTGATTTCATTCAATTGATAATGATTATCTATAGCTAATAAATTCAATTCATATTTATCCATTTGTTCACGATCTAAATTATGATCTAATTGTATTTCTAATCTATTATGATCATCGAATTGATTGAATATTAAACTAAAATAATTGATTGATTGATTCAATTGATTATTATTATTATTATTATTATTATTATTATTGATTATTGAATTGATTTCATGATAAGGAATCGATTGTAATTGATAAGTGATATTTGAATATAAACACATATCATAGTCAATAGCTATTGGTAATTGATATTTTGTACCGATTAATGCATCTTCCATAAAATGTAATTCATATTTATTAAATAATTGAAATATTGGATAATTATCATTTAAATCAATTAATTGTATATGAATAGTCATTAATTCTATACCGATTGATAATAAATTCATAGCAATTGTAATTGTAAATTGACAATAAGGTAAATTAAATGAATCATTGATTAGATTTGATTGATTATTAATGATTGAACATGTATTGATCGAACATAAACATGTATTGATTTCTTTAAAAAATTGATTATTAGGATTATGATGATGATCCCAATGACATAATTGATCCCGATCTAATTTTTTTATTTGTATTAATTCTTGTTTAAATAAATTATAATAATTTATATGAAAATATTTTGAACTCCATTGATTAGATGGAAATAAATATAAACGTGGCAATTCATTATAATGATGATGATGATGATCAGTATTATTATGATGATTATTGATTATTTGATATTGATTAGCGATTAAATCAATACTTAATAATGGTTTACTTTGATTGATTGTATTCATTTTTAGATTATTATTATTATTATGATTATTATTATTTGATGATAATGAATGATTGAATATATAATTTAATAAATAATTCGTTAATTGAAAATCATTAATTAAATTACCAATAAATTGTGGTATATTAGATTCTTCAATAAGTCTATAAGTGATTTGTTTATTGAATGATTTCAATGATACACCTTGATGATTCGTTTTATTGTTCGTCTTCTTCTTCTTCTTCTTCTTGTTGTTATCATTATTATTATTATTGATTTTGTTGATTGATGATTGATATGACAAGTCTTTGGACGTATTCAATGATATAGATGGTAATGTTTTATACTTGGATGGATCGAATACATTTGAAGATGAGGATGAGGATGAGGATGATGAGGATGATGATGTGCATAATAATAATAATGTAGATGAAATACAATTCAATGATAATGATGAATAAATTGTTGAATTGAATATATCTAATCTTATATATAACAATAACATAATAAATTGTATAAATTTACATGATCTCATCTAGATATTAAATAATTACAATAGAAAGAATTGTATGATCTTATGGTATTCAATCATGTTTTCTTTTCCTCTTCCTCTAATTCTTTTTTCTTCTTTTTTCTTTTCTTCTTTTTTTCTTTTTTCTTATACTTCTCGTTATATTTTTTTTGTTTTGATAAAGTATAACTTTCAATATTGTCTTCAATGGAAATCAGTAGTATGGAAAGTATATTGTACTGTAGAATAGAAAAAAAGAAGCAATACACAATTCACATTGTTTCTATATTATGATAATTATGATTAGAAATAATAAATAAATAAAAACTATTTGATGGACATGATTCATGCATGAGATGATAGAGTTTATGAATGTTGTTTGATCATTATTGAAAATCTGAAAGGATTGAATCACTGTTTCATTCTATTATGAGACTACTCAACATTGTGTATGTACACAATCCCGCTTAAGGGATTCAAGCACAGTGTTTAATATCTATATCATTAAACTGATATCCAATGATGTTAATGTCTAAGTTCAACCAATCCATGAAATGATGCGACCATCATCTATTGTACTGAGATAGATATCTGACATGGATAAGCTCTACATATTATTTTAATAGTTATATCTTATATCTCGATAAGTATAATGAATGGTAAGTTTTGGGATCTATTTATGGATCAAGACTATACGCATATTTTTATTATACAATTATTACATAACTAAACTATTCATATTCATCTCCATCTTATTGTGAGCTTTATTTTGACCTATAAACTATCATTATGGCACAATTTACCATTGGAAATGGATCAGTTATGCCCTGTCTTCCGAATAACGTCAGCTTTCCCACATTCACGAAGCATCATCTAATTCTTGTACAAATGTTGGGGCAGAGTTTAAGTGGTTTATTTTTTGTTTAATCTGGTCAGTGTAATTTGTATCGTTTGTTTTCGACAATATAGAGTTACCGACTCCATATCCAGCCCTTCCCTTTTTTGTATAGGCTTAGAACCGGCAGTAGCTTTAGAAGAGCTACATACGAGTCTTATGCGTTATCGGTTCGATCGGTAATTCACTGTTCTCTAATTGGCGGTATCATTACGTTATACATCAACAGGGTACACAGGCTTCTGTATACAACCAAAAATATTTATCCTCAATAATTTGTTCCACTTTAGATCGACTGACGAAGATAGTTTACATATATAGTACGAAACAAACATCAAATTAAGTTAGTAGTAAATATATTTCTTTTTATATCTTAGTGAGTAAGACATTGTATTTTTGACGTTTCGTAACTTCATGTAAGCCACTCCTTTAGACTAAATAAATAGCTGAACATTTGTTTGCTTTGAAGAAAAAGCTTACATTAAGTCACAAAATGTCACAAATACAAATTTTCTACTCATTCAGATATAACCATAATCGAATCTTTAATCAATCAATCATTATTGAGTAAAGACCATAGCAACAAGTTGGAATGGATTAGTTACTATTGTGATGATATAGGTATATTCTGAGTGAGGCATAGAAAGTATTTCAGTAGATCGATAAGTAAACAATGGGAACGGAACGCAATTAGTATGAAAATGCATGAACGATCAAATCTGAGACAATGGTATCCGTTAAGGTTTGTAGTTCAGGTGGATGATTTTGTTGGAGTTTTGTTCTCTGAGCTGGATAGTTTGATCGTGGAGCTTTCATCGTTCTTTTCAATGATATTATCAGCATAAACTTCAAGTAGAATTGAGGTGTTCATATTTTTCCATATATGACTTGCAGCTTATTTCTTCAGTCCTTAACGTATATTGAATTCCATAGATCAAGTGTTGTAATCGGATCACATATATATGTAACTGGATATTACATGCTCTATATCCTAATATTAGAAGGTTAAGGGAATCTATCAGGGTTTCTTAAAACATACTTTCTACATACTAACAGTTGGGTCAAAATACATATAGTGACAAACCTTAACATAATAATGTAACAGCATCTAAAATGTGAACTGTGGATTATACATTTTGCTAGTATCTATGTATAACAGGGAATTATTAGTTGTTGAGATGGTGAAGAAGATTTGTAGCTCAGATGGATGATTTTGGTGGAGTTTCGTTCTCTGAGCTCGATGATTTGATCATATAGCTTTCGTCGTTAATCTGAACGACTTCAATTGGATATTCACCTCTTCTCGTTTACATTCTTCACAAAATTGCACATTCCTTGTTACATAATTTAATGAGGTTTTGTGATTATTGTTATTATGATCCCTTAAACTTGTCATTGTTTACTTTTTTTATTTTGATTGTATCACTCAATGAAAAATCTAATATCATCTATAAAATAAATTGTTCCAACTGCGAAAAGTGGACATCCACTTTATCTTCGTCTGCACTAACATCAATTAGTCAGCAAAAGTTTGAGACATGTATCTAACTCAGACAATGGATGGGTGGTTGCGCAAGATCATGAATCGATTGAAGTTAAACATTAACACCGTTGAATGCCAGATCAGTAGTCTAGATGTCAAGTGTCCATGAGCCAGACTGAAGACCCTGAGTTTGAATCCCGCGTGCACTACTGAGTAGTCCCACAGCAGGACGAAACGACTGTCGCGTTCTTCAATGGCTGTTCAGCCTACATCGACTTATGAATTTAACCATTAAACTTATCATTATCATTATTATGTCTATTGAGTCCTAACTGATCTACTTCCCATACTGAACTGTTGACTAGACATTTTTTATTATTCTGATCACTACTACTGTGGTGCGTGCTACTTATGTTGATATAAGTAGTATATGACACGAGTCAGGAATGTAATGTCTGGCAACAGAAGATGGGGAAGATAAAGAGAGGAAGAGCAGGAGTAGAAAGCAATTAGTGTGCAAATGCAAGAACAATGAAGTTCGAGACAATTGAACATTTTGCAAATTATTATTATTATTATTATTAGCTTTATTCAATATTATATTTTTGGTACAATATAGAATTCTCAGCGTAAAGTATTTCAACAAGTTTCCGTTTCTTTCTTCCTGGTCGGTCCTGGCGATAAATATTGAGTGATCGCCAGTTAGATGTTAACAGTCCAGTAAATGGACATCTGAATAATGTGCATTCTTTTTGTTGTATATTGCCAGCAACCACATTGTCTCTTATTGAGTTTTTTGTAACTTTGACAACGAAAGGTTGTACACTTTTCAGAAACGCAGCAGAATAGGTTATGCAATTAATAAACATAATGATATATTAAGACAAACAAAAATAGATAACTTTTTGAAATATCTAGATGGCAGGAAACAGGTAGCCTAGATGCTCAAGCAGGCCGCCACTCAGCAGTATTATAGTATGGTTTTTCTATTTTACCAAGTAACTCTGTAATTTTGTGCTTTGATTTACCTCAAAAATTTGATAGATTAGTAAATTCTGTATCTTATGTCAATCATCAATCATGTTTCACAGTCAAATGACCAACCTATAAAAGCATAAGCCTAAACCTCCTGAACCAATAAAACTAAGGGGAAACATATTCAAATATACTTTGAGTCAGTTTGTATAATAGTAGTGTATGGAACATCTATGAAATATTTGATTGAATGAAAGGTCGTGTACTCAGAGATGGATGGTGACTAGCAGCGGAATAAAAAAACACTCGTTTCTTCCTATTTGAGATTTGTCACCTGAATATATTCATATCACACAGTTGGTGTTCACTCTGTGATTCGAACTCAGTACTCTTCGCTTTAACTGTGATGACGCTTATATGTACATCCATTTGATCATTCCCAAATAGAATGAAACGCACATCCTCAATTCCACAAATAGCCACCATTTATCTCTGCTTATAATGCTTGTGATTTAAGGCAATATAGAGGCAATTCATACATGATGTACATGTGACAATAAGAGACAGATCAGTCGTTACCTTAACTATCAATGAGAGGATTCAACCAACCAATACAAAAATGAATTAAAGGTCTTGTAGTTTGAACAAAAAACCGTATAAATTCAATTTGTCATGGTTAATAACAATTCGAATTCACTTCTGTTATACTTTTACAAGTTACTCATTAATTTTTATCAATATTCTTTTTGCCTCAATGAGCACTTGTCTCATCAAAACAAATACATATGATCATAAGGGGTTTGTGGAGATTTTAGAAATCTTCACAGATTGAAATCATGAGTCGGTTGAAGCTAGTCCACCATTGAAAACCTGGAAGCACTGGACGGCCGTTTCATGATTTCAACCTGTGAAAATTTCTAAAATCTGCACAAACCCCTTCTGATAATAATCATCTGCTCACTAGTGACTGACTTCAAGAAGCCGTTACCAGTGGAGTTCAACCAGGTCTGTTGTGAGATATCAGCTCACTGAAGACAATGGTATATGATGGCGCAACTTCGTGGATTGGGTGAAGTTAGACATTAACACCATTGGATGCCGGCTCAGTGGTCTAATGGTTAAGTGCTCGCGCGCGAAGCCAGTAGGTCCTGGGTTCAGATCCCGCGGGGCGCGGGATCGCGGATGCGCACTGCTGAGGAGTCCCATACTAGAACGAAACGGCCGTCCAGTGCTTCCAGGTTTCCTATGGTGGTCTAGCTTCAAATGACTCATGATTTCAATCTGTGAAAATACATATGATCCATATTTAGTAAGTAGTCAATATAGGTAAACATCTCCAGTATAATTTACATAATAATTGAAACCATCTTTATTGTAAACATTTTCGGCGAGACTATAATTTATGGATGAGTCAATTACAAGCGTTTAAGCGATCCCGGCGCCAATTTCAGTGTCTGATGCGCATGTACGATCGGTTCATAGCGGATTTTAGGGAAAACGTAATAATTGACTACTACTTGTGGACTTTGTGCAGACTACCATGACGATATTGTCTTTTAATGCAATGTCTGTTAGAGTAAGAAGTCTGATAAAATAGGATTTTTTTGCTCAATCCAGATTGAAACTAAGGCAAATTATAAAAATTTTCGGAGAAACGGATAATAAAAACATCCGTAACACTGACTGCAGCCGGATACTACAATATATACGGATCATTGGAGAGCGTACAGATTCCTACGTAGACTTGGTTATGTGCACTGCGTTGTTGTTCACAAGTGAACCCAACATTGAAAGTGCATACAGACAGTATTGAAGCTATGTGTTCGAGTCTGAAAGAGATTTTTTGTAACCATATCACAACTCCATAAGCCGACTATCATGGAGAC